AGAAGAAGAAGAAGAAGAAGAAGAAGAAGAAGAAGAAGAAGAAGAAGAAGAAAGAGGAGGAGGAGGGAGGAGGGAAGAAGGAAGAGTGAGGCAGGAGGATGGGGATGAGGAAGAAGAACAAGGGGAATAAGAAGAGGAAAAAGAAGAGGTAGAGGAGGAGGACAACGACGACGAGGGGGAAGTGGAAGAAGATATTTGTGTCCCGTATGAATCCTTGCCGAAGAGTGATCTCAGCAGAGGATGATTTTGATAGTCAAGTAGATAAGAAGACCTGTTCTGTGGATACCAGTCGGCCTCTTTTGCCAATCACCACTGTTACTGCCCAATGGATTTGTAACCAAAGCGGCCCTGGTGGCAGGGATTATGCGTGGGTTTAGCAACATGGACTTCAACTCACTAAGGTTAATACGGTCACAGTCACTGCTGAGTGCCCAAAGTGACAGCAGCAAAGAACAACACTGAGTACCCAATATAACAATATTCCCCACGGTGATCAGCCAACTACCTTGTGGCAGGTGGATTACCTCGGACTGCTTCCATCACGGAAAGGGCAATGTTTTGTTCTTACCTGAATAAACAATTACTCTCGATACATATTTGCTTTTCCTGCATACAGCGCTTCTGCCAAAACTATGGCCCATCAACTTAAAGGTGTTTATCCATCATCATAGGATTCCACTCAGCAATGTTTTTTATCCAGGAACTCACTTCACAGCAAATGAAGTACAGTAACTAGTATATGCTCAAGCAATTCACCGGTCTTCTCATGGTACCTATTTGGAAAGGCAATTTCATGCGTGCAGGGTACCTATATCTGCTCTGCAACATATTAACGGGCCTTGGGCCTGGAACACTTCTTACAAAGAGAGATAAAGAGCCCACACAGCCCTGCCAGACTTATCACCTTGTGTGAGGATATCCTTCTCTGTTCCTGCCTCCCTAAGAGTTCCTTTGTTCTGCTTCAACGTGTACATCAATAGCCCTGGGGCAGGCCCCACATTAAAAAAAAATAAATAAATTAATTAACGTTTATTTATTTTTGAGACAGAGAGAGACAGAGCATGAATGGGGGAGGGTCAGAGAGAGAAGGAGACACAGAATCTGAAACAGGCTCCAGGCTCTGAGCTGTCAGCCCAGAGCTCACCGCGGGGCTCGAACTCACGGACCGCGAGATCATGACCTGAGCCGAAGTCCGACGCTCAACCGACTGAGCCACCCAGGTGCCCCCGGCCCCACATTTTAGTAATTCAGATTCCACAGAGGAGGGGTCAGGGTGTGCATGTAGGTAAATCGCCCTGCTTCAGCTGCTGGGGTGGTAAGGAAAGGGGGACTACATGCTGGCTCTTAAGTACCTCCAGCAGGAAGAGACCCACATCTTTTCTGCTCAGATTAGCTTTGACTAGAGCAATTCACATGGTCACTGACTTGTAGGTATCATGCAACTATATTTCTTCTTACGCTTGAATATAGTCAGGAATGCACTTTGTTGAATAATGAATAATGACTAGCACAGTAATTTAGGCCACTTATGAATAAGATACTCCGAGTTTGCAGTAGACAACTGTTCCTGTCACATTACTTGTCTATCAGGCATATAATGAAGGTCAAAGCTGTAACAGAGGATATGGAATCACGAGGAGGCCAAAAATTAGAAAGGTGCATACAAATTTGAGGTCTTATGAATATTAATTTCCTGGGCTCTTTATTAAATATTTTAATATATGTAAAGAACTTAGAATCTTCCCTGGTATATCATACGTGTCCCACCAATATTATCAGTTGCTCTTATCCTTGTCACAAAATGGTGCTCTAGAGACAAAAATGAGGTTATCAATAACCTTCTTAAAGAGAGGCTCTTTTCTGAAAATACCAAGAGAAGTCACTATAACACTATTTATGTAGCATGGATCACAAAGATAAAGAAAACATTGTAGTAAAGCAGAAATGAAATATACCAATGAATGGGATTTTTCCCTAAAAATTGATTGTGTGTCTCCTTTGGAAATGAAACTCCTTGGATTAAATATTTCCTCTAAAACATTTTGAATTAAATATAGTGTCCTTAAAAGTTAGGGACAAATGGCACGTTTTCTTTGATCTGACATAAAGGAGATAGGTACATTTAAATACAGCCCTACTCTGTGTTTCTTTCCAGAGAACTCTGAGCAGATTGTCAGTTAAAGTCAGCTACACTAAAGACAGAAGATTATAAGGGAGAAACACATAAGATTAATTAAATAAAGTAATATAAACGAGAATGATGTTTGGTGTGTCTGCTTATGGGTAAAACTGCATAAACTAATTAGTAAGTTCCCCATTATAATGTCAGGTTTTATTTATAATAAATCAGACCCAAGGCTTTCATTACAAATGAATTAAACTGGATCCTCCAGCCTCAGATACATGGTAGCTGCGATATCTCTTTATTACTTGACCTTTTCAACCTCCTTACATCTCACTGTCCTCATTGGACTACAGATAAAAATAAGCCTCATAATCTAATAACTTCATAGGGCTATTAGGAAACTTAACCTCCTTAAGCCTCCATCTCCTCCTCTGTAATCTCTGTAATACAAAATAATCTCCATAATGAAATAACTTCATGGGTTATTAAATGATCATCTTCAAAGATTAAATGATAACCTTATGAAATGCATTGAGAATGGTTATCTGGCACATAGATGAGCCACAATAAATAACAATTATTACTATTAAATCTAGAACTGACGTTCAGCATCCATTAAATTTGCAAACGGAAGCTCATGCTCCAGCTACTCCAGCTACTGCTGTGTAACAAACCACCCAGAAATATAGTGGCTTAAAATAACAATATATTATTATGTCTAACCTATATTTAGTGGGTCAGGAATTTGGGCAGGGCTTAGGTGAGTGAGTCATTGGCTCCATATGATGTCAACTGTGATGTTCAGCAGTATTTGTTTATAAAGTATGTCACATAAAGTCTTAATATTTATTATATTCTGCAGAATTTAGTTTGTGATTTTGGGGTATCTTTGATGTCCATGTTTTGCTCATTATAACTACCTTCTATCTATGTTCTTCATTATTACACACAAGGACAGAATCAGGTTTTATATGGCCTAAAGTTTATATAATTTTGGCAGCCTTTTATCAGAAAAAAATATAAAATATGATAGAAAAACAGCTACAAAACATTTAATCATAAAATAAATTATAAGCAACTTCATATTTTAAAAATCTGATTAAAACAATACCCAAGTATCACAATGTGTCTCCCAATTCCCAATTAACTAATTAATATACTGACACATCTCTATAATTCTTGTTTTTTGAACTTTAGCATGAATAATACGTCTGAAAATAAAGATATATAGAATCAATCTGAAATTAAGACAGAAAAGCAATTAGATTAATTTTTTAAAGCATTGCACCATATCAAGCTCCATCATTTAGTAAATACAACATACTTCGATTTATTAACGGATAGTAAGTCTGTCACTGAAACACTAGGTTTTCTTTTCTTCTCTTTTTTTTTTTTTTTTTTTTTTTTTTTTAATTTATTGGTGGATACAGGGTTTAAATTTTTTTCGAAATTCCAAAATGTCAGAAAAAAATTTTTTTAATATTTTAAAAAACAAAAA